CCTCCCCTCCTCTCTTTCTTCCCTCCTTCCCTCTTCTCCCCCTCCACTTCTTCCTTTTTCGCTTTCTTCCCTCCTCCTCTCCTTCTCTCCTCTCTGAGGGACCAGCATCAGAGACATTCATGATGCATTCCCACCATCTCTCATTGGCTCAGCATCCTCCACAAACCTTCCCTGAGAAGAGCCTCCACCCCATACAACACAACCTCCCTGAACAGAGCCCTGGGGCCACCCATTCCACTGGTTCCTCCATTGTGTCCAGATTGGCTGCCAGTCTAGGACATAACTTGTGCTTAGTTTGCAGCTCCCCAAATTCTGAGAAATGAGTGACTTTGGAAAATACTTTGTCCTTTTTCTGAAAAGATCCTTCTAGATAATCTTTGGCAGGGCTAAATGATTCCAGCTGAGCCTGGTGACTGCTTCCCGACCGTGTGGACCCTGCCGCTTTCCTTCCTCCCTCCCTCAACACTCCTTCCCTTCATTTTCATAAGCAATCAGTGAGCACCTCGTAGGAATGAGACAGGATGACAGATTCTCAGCTCAACCTTCTGTCACTGAAGTCTCACTCTAGTAAGGCATATTTATTCCAATATGTCCTATAACTCACAATGAGTCACTGTGCATTCAGTGCAGTCAAGGTTATTCCTTCTCTTGTAGGTAACAGGAGTCTCTTCTCTTTTCACTGCAAAAGATGTGCCTTCGGAGCATCTGAATCATAAAAAAAGGTGGCATTTTTACTTTTCTCAAAAATAAATAAAAGAGCCCAGCTAAGCAAGAATCCCTCAGTTATATCACAAGAGCCATCCAGTAACAACTTCTCTCTGTCATAGCCAATGGCTTAAAGGCACCTAAAGTCCCAGTAAGGTTTTCCCAGATTCTAGCTCCTGGGAAGCTTTACCTGGAGGATGGTTAACTAGGTTAACTCCAAGTGACCAAGCTGGTGGGGAGGAAACCCACTGCCTGTGCCACGCTCAGTCCTTCAGGGCTTCCGGGGACCAAAGATTATGCACAGGAACTGCCCAGCCATATCCACTGCCAGTCACTCTGAATAACCAGCTTTGCGTAAATGTCAACATGTGTCTGCTGACATATACAGAACATGAACCCATATGCACATCTTTATAATAGTTTCATTATAAGGATATACTTTTAAAAAGTTATTGGCATACATAAACACATGCCCATCTCCAATTAAAATAATCATATAGTTAAGCTGTTTTTAGTTTTTGCCCCATAAGTTATAAATAGATGAAACCATTTACAACATAATAAAATCCAGCTCTAATCTTTATCTCTGCTGAAGGCCACTCCCTGTGATCCTTACCTGAGCATATTTTTCACAGGCCACAGGACTGGACGGTCAGATTTTCTGCATCTCCAGGTGCCTGGGTCATGCTGGTTTATAATCCTTCTGGCAGCTGGGCACAGTGGTGCACACCTGCAATCCTGGCACTTTGGGAGGCCAAGGCAGGTGGATCACTTTTGGCCAGGAGTTCGAGACCAGCCTGGCCAACATGGTGAAACCCCATTTCTACTAAAAATGCAGAAATTAGCTGGGCATGGTGGTGCACACCTGCAATCCCAGCTACTGGGATGGCTGAGGCAGAAGGCTCTCTTGAACCTGTGAGGTGGAGGTTACAGTGAACCAAGATCGCGACACTGCACTCAAGCCTAATAGAAGGAACGAGACTCTGTCCAAAAAAAAAAAAAAAAAAAAAAAAAAAAAAAAAAAAAAAAAAAAAAAAAAAAAAAAAAAAAAAAAAAAAAAAATTCTGTAGCAGAAATTTAGTCAGGACCTGGGAAGGATTATTTCAAATTAGGTCCATCAAGAGCAAAAGGGGGAAGGAATTCCCAAGTGACAGCGCCCCCACCCACAACACTTTGAGGATGCCTCTGTCTTCACCTGCTTGGTGCAGATCTAGGTTTACTGTTTCCAAGGAACAAGCTTCCCTACAGCTTCTAGAAGGGCCCATTTTGGAAACTACAGGGGGCTCTGAGGTTTGGCTTTCTGAAGTTCTAAGAGAGGTATCTGCTCCAGCTCAGGAGGTCCCTACGCACCTGCCAGGTAAATGCAAGTTTACCTGAGAGTCAAGCCTGCCCTTGAGTCCCAGGGCTTAAAGTCTCAGCAGCTTACACAGAAAACTGTGTTCCTCAGCCCACTCACTGGGCGGTCCTTGGCAATGCTCTAATGGCAGTTCCTTAGGAAAACAATTTGTCATCAATTTAAACCCTAAAATAGACTACATTCTTTACACTACATAGATTTACAACTAACATTTTTAACTTTTTTCCAAATACTTTATTTATTTTATTTTATTTTTGAAACAGGGTCTTAATCTGTCACCGAGGCTGGAGTGTAGTGGCGTGATCATGGGTCATGGCGGTCGAGACTTCCCCAGGCTCAGGTGATCCTCCCACCTCAGCCTCTGGAGTAGCTAGGACTACAGGCACACGTCACCATGCCAGGTTAATTTTGTTATATTTTTTGTAGAGACGGGGTTTCATCACGTTGCCCAGGCTGATCTTGAACTCCCAGACTCAAGGGATCCACCCACCTCAGCCTCTCAAAGTGCTGGGATTACAAGCGTGAGCCACTGCACCTGGTCCCAGATATTTTAATTCAAAATATTTTTACCTGAAAAAATTTGTTTCAACTACTAGGCACTTGGCAAAACACTCTCCAAATATTATTTCAGTGATTCTCGTCATACATTTGTATAGTTACCAATGGCCAGGTGCAGTAGCTCACACCTGTAATCCCAGCACTTTGGGAGGCTGAAGTGGGCAGATCACTTGAGGTCAGGAGTTCGAGACCAGCCTGGCTAACATGACAAAACCCCGTCTCCACAAAAAATGCAAAAATTAGCCAGGAGTGGTGGCACATTCCTGTAGTCCCAGCTACTTGGGGAGGCTGAGGCAGGGGAGGCTGAGGCAGGGGAATTGCTTGAACCTAGGAGGCAGAGGTTGCAGTGAGCTGATATTGAGCCACTGCACTACAACCTGGGCGACAGAGTGAGACACAGCTCAAAAAAAAAGTCTGGTTGCAGTGGCTCACACCTATAATCCCAGCATTTTGGGAGGCCAAAGCGGGCAGATCACTTGAGGTCAGGAGTTTGAGACCAGCCTGGCCAACATGGTGAAACCCTGTCTCTACTAAAAATACAAAATTAGCCAGGCATGGTGGCACATGCCTGTAATCCCAACTACTTGAGAGGCTGAGGCAGGAGAATCGCTTGATCCCGGGAGGCAGAGGTTGCAGTGACCGAGTTTATGCCATTGCACTCCAGCCTGGGCAACAAGAGTGAAACTCTGTCTCGGGAAAAANAAAAAAAAAAAAATTACTGGTCGTCGGCAAAGCCTGAGTCCTGTCCTCTCCCTCTCCTCCCCGGGCAGCATGAGCTTCGCCACTCACTCCACCTTCTCCACCAACTACGGGTCCGTGGGCTCCGTCCGGGTGCCCAGCTACGGCGCCTGGCCGGTCAGCAGCGCGGCCATCGTCTGTGCAGGCACCGGAGGCACTGGTTCCCGCATCTCCGTGATGCGCTCTGCCAGCTTCCGGAGCAGCATGGGGGTCGGGGACCTGGCTGCGGGGATGGCCGGGGGTCTGGCAGGAATGGGAGGCATCCAGAACGAGAAGGAGACCATGTAAAGCCTGAACGACTGCCTGGCGTCCTACCTGGACAGAGTGAGGAGCCTGGAGACCGAGAACCAGAAGCTGGAAAGCAAAATCCGGGAGCCCCTGGAGAAGAAGGGACCCCAGGTCAGACACTGGGGACATTACTTCAAGACCATCGGGGACCTGAGGGCTCAGATCTTTGCAAATACTGTGGACAATGCCCGCATCGTTCTGCAGATTGACAGTGCCCGTCTTGCTGCTGATGACTTTAGGGTCAAGTATGAGACAGAGCTGGCCATGCGCCAGTCTGTGGAGAGCGACATCCATGGGCTCCACAAGGTCATCGATGACACCAATGTCACTCGGCTGCAGCTGGAGACAGAGATCGAGGCTCTCAAGGAGGAGCTGCTCTTCATGAAGAAGAACCATGAAGAGGAAGTAAACGGCCTCCAAGCCCAGATTGCCGGCTCCTGGTTGACCATGGAGGTAGATGCTCCCAAATCTCAGGACCTCGCCAAGAAGGTCTGAGAGGAGCTGGAAAAGTACTGGACTCTTCTTCGCCAAGAAGAACCGAGAGGAGCTGGACAAGTACTGGACTCAACTGCTTGAGGAGAGCACCATAGTGGTCACCACAGAGTCCACTGAGGTTGAAGCTGCTGAGATGACGCTCGCAGAGCTGAGACGTACAGTCCAGTCCTTGGACGACCTGAACTTCATGAGAAATACAAAGATCAGCTTGGAGAACAGCCTGAGGGAGATGGAGGCCTGCTATGCCCTGCAGATGGAGCAGCTCAATGGGATCCTTCTGCCCCTGGAGTCAGAGCTGGCACAGACCTGGGCAGAGGGACAGCGCCAGGCCCAGGAGTACGAGGCTCTGCTGAACATCAAGGTCAAGCTGGAGGCTGAGATCGCCACCTACTGCCGCCTGCTGGAAGATGGCGGGGACTTCAGTCTTAGTGATGCCCTGGACAGCAGCAACTCCATGCAAACCATCCAAAAGACCACCACCCGCCGGATAGTGGATGGCAAAGTGGTGTGTGATACCAACAACATCAAAGTTCTGAGACATTAGGCCAGCAGAAGCAGGGGACCCTTTGGGGAGCAGGAGGCCAATAAAAAGTTCAGAGGTCAAAAAAAATTACTGACATGCTTCCACACATAGCCTCATTGGATTCCCCCAGGAGTCCCTCAGAGTGTGTAGGACTTGGAGGCATTGATTTGATGAGCAAGGAAGCTAGGACCCAAGGGGTTATAAAGACTTGTACAGCTAGTAAATGATAGTAAAGCACTCAGGCCTCTCGAGAGCTTTCAAAGTTCAGGCTTAATATAGAAATGGAAGACTCTATCTTGGCATTTTCTAAGCTGAAAGACTGAGGCAAAAAACAAAAACCAAAAATCAGGAAGGTTATTTTCTGAAACACGCTATTAAATTTTTTATTTGAGTGAGAAGATGCTAACTGTAATTAATCCCCTATTGTCTACATTTTCCAAAAGAAAGAAGGAAAAAATAACTAGACTAAATTTAATTTCTGACATAAGAGCCTTCTTTATTAGGAGCTGCACACTGGTCACTTGCTTTGCACAACAGTGATATGCCATCAACACTGTGTGCCAACTAGTACTCAGGAAGTCAAATTATAGTTTAGGATCAGGATCATTATTTAAAGGTGTACTGTGGTAAATTTACGGTAATTTTTTTCCCTCGTTTTAATCGCTCTGAAAGCAGGATGCAGTCAATGCTGTCATACAACGACTGTCCACCAGGTGGCAGTCGTGATGTAGTAAGATGTGAAAAAAATCATTGACATCTGTAAGGATCAAGAAATCATCAAATTCAAAAACTTAGATTTTATGAAATACATAACGACTTGCCTGAAGTAAGGTACAATTAAAACAAGAACTGATTTTTATTGAGGATTAGATAATAACTCTAGGACTCTAGTTGTTTTTCAATCCTAGCTTTATAAGCCTCATTGAATATTGCTTGTTTAATGATGAAATTCAGCCCTTCATACATATTTCTTAAGCCTTTCTGAAAGCAAATGAATTGAGGGAAAAACAGATCACAAAGAAATTATCAACCAATGCAGAGAACCTAGAGTTCACTTTTTTTTTTTTTAATTGACACAGGGTTTTGCTCTGTCACTCAGACTGAGGGCAGTCGTGCAATCATAGCTCACTGCAGCTTTGAACTCCTGGGCTCAAGCGATCTTCCTGCCTCAGCCTCATGACTACAGGCATGTGCCATCATATCCAGCTAATTAATTTTAAAAAATTTTTTTTAGACACAGGGTCTCACTATGTTTTCCAGGCTGGTCTCAAACTCCTAGACTCAAGCAATCTGCTTTGGCCTCTCAAAGTGCTAAAATTACAGGGATGAGCCACCACACCATATTGATTGCAATCTTATTGATGACAATAACAATTATAATGAAACATTTTAGCTGTTAGCTTGTGGGACAAGCTTCTCCCAGGGTGGAGAGCGGGGTCAGCAGTACATACGTATCGCCCTTTAATCTCTTAGTGGTTTCCCATTCATGCCTCTACAAACTCTCTCAAACTTAGTGGCTTAAAACACACAAATTTGTTTCTTTAGAATTCTGTAGAAGTCCAACAAGAATCCCTCCTTGTTTAGATCAAGGTGTAGGCAGGTCTGTGTGTCCCTTTCTGAAAGGCTTAGGGGAGAATCCACTTCCTTGCCCTTTCCAGCATCTAGAGGCAGCCACAGCCCTGGGCTCTCAGCTCCTTTTCCATGTGCAAAGCCAGCAATGCCACATCACCCTGGCTCCACAACTGTCTTCTTAGCCCCCTCTGATTATCTCTTCTGCCCTCCTCTTTGACTTTTAAGAGCTGTTGTGCTTACACTGGGCCCACTCAGATAATCTAGGATAGTCTTCCTATTTTATGGTCAACTGATTAGCAACCTTAATTCCCCTCTGTCATGTAACCTAACATAGTCACAGGTCCTGGGAATTAGGATGGGGATAGCTTTCATCTTTGGGGGCCTATTAAAGTCCCTCTCTGTCCTATACAGTACTTAAAATGAATCTCAAAGCCCTGTTTTAAGAAAAAAGTGGCCATCTCCCCTTTCTTTTAACTCTTGATGTAGCTCTCCCTGAATGGCTGCCACAGTCTTCAAAGGGAGGCTCTGAGATCGTCACTGTCTCCCAGCTACAGTGTTAAGAAGGTGCTTCCATTTCTTTCCAGGTTGAGGAAGTCATTTCAATTTGCCACAGATCTCTGTGCCTGTCACTGCTCTGAACTTGTAATAACTGAATCTGCAACATCTCTTTTTCCCTTCCAAGAGCTGAAATCTTGACCCTTCTCTGAGGAAAAACGTCTGCCCTTAGCCTTCTCAGCTTCACTTTCTCTCTTCAATTCTATCACCTTCACTTTCTCTCTGTCCTGATGGTTTATGGAAAGTCTTTTGACTAAAAGACAATTATTTGCTCTTGTTTTTTAAGCTGCATTCACATTGCTGAGTTTCTGATTATTTTCATCCTCCCACTGTGGTTTTTTCAGAGTCAAAGCGTTTCAGGCACAGAGCTTTTCTCTAAGTTCTCAGGTTTGTATCTATTCTACCAAGTTATTTAGCCATCTCAATCCAAGAAGAGGATATTATCTTTGTATAATAAGAGTCCCCATTCCTCTTTTTCTATTCATTGAGAAAATCCTTATATCAAACTGAATCCATAATCTGGGCCCTTGACATCTAAAAACATACTTAGAATTTATTTAATGACTATGTGAGGTGTTGAGCAATCAGGTTAGTCAATTACAATAACAACCCACACTGAGAGTAACCATCAAGCCTTTATTCACTTATTGTAATGGTGCAAGCAAGAGGCAGAGAGAAGTGCCCCTAGGATTCCATTTTCATCATGGAACAGCACTGAAAAATAAAAATGAAATCCTAATCACCCCAGCTGACCAAACAGACCTCCTCTTGGCCAAGGAGACCCCAGAGAAGCCTTGAGCCTGAGTTCCCAGCAATGATGGGATGGAAGGGCAGACACACCTCGTTATGTACCCTCCCTCCCTCACTAACTGCCAATGGGCTTCCCTCTGTAAGAGCTTAACAGAAACCAGCCCTTTCAAAAGACCCCACCACTGATATCCACCAACAGACCGACACTGCCCCTCCTTTTTTGCCTGATAAAAGCCCACTGACCAGTGGTTCTGGCCAGTCTATGGAAATGCACAGTGAAGGTTTTTATGGCCTCTGTCACACCTTTTGACATCAGAGGGCTGAAAACTCCACCCTCAGATCCTACTAATGCCGATATTGTTTGAACATGAGTCCCATGGAGAGGCATGAAGATCCACTGCGTATGCATTTTTCCTTTCATACATATTCATTACTCCTCCTGTAGCTCATTGAATATGTCTATTTGACCACCCTACTCGGCATGAATTCCTCTTCCCTTTGCCTCTCCCTCAAAGTGCCTGTGTCTGGCTTCTGGCCAGAGGCTATGTTTCCTAGCCTGTCAGAATGGCCATTCTGCAGGCTGCAAACCTTTGTGAGTAATAAAGCTCTCCTTTCCATGTGTAGGGACTTCTCATTCTGCAGTTGACAGCATGGAGCAAATGGGGTGAGTCACCACACTGCTCAGAAGTCAAGAATAGAAGGCTTGTGCCTGTTCGCGACTGCCTGTGGAGTTTGGGGAGAGAGAAGAGTGTGGGGGCCAAGGACCTTGACTGCCTAAAAAATTACTGACATAAGGCAGATTGATTAATAGGAGAAAAGGCATATAAATTTATTTAATGTGTATATACAAGAGCCTTCAGAATGAAGACCCAAGCTCCCAGTGATGTACAGAACCTTATATACTGTTGATTTAAAAAAAAAAGCCAAACTCAGCAAAACATTTGAAAAGATTAGTTCTGAGCAAGATATGAGTGACCATGGCCAAAGGCATGGTTTCCAGAGATCCTGAGAACCTGTGTCCCAGGTGATTGGGTTACAGCTTGGTTTTATATATTTTAGGGAGACATGAGACATCAGTCGCAATGTGCAATATACATTGTTTACATCTGAAAAGGTGGGACAGCTCCTAGTGGGGTGGTGACGGGCTTACAGATCACAGGTGGATTCAAAGATTTTCTAATAGGTTGAAAGAGTCAAGTTACCTAAAAACCTGGAATCAATGGGAAGGAGTGACTGGGTTAGGATAAAGGGCTGTAGAGACCAAGGTTTTGGTTTTGTTTTTGCTTTTTGAGACGGAGTTTTGCTCTTGTTGCCCAGACTGGAGTGCAATGGCGCAGTCTCAGCTCATTGCAATTTCTGCCACTTGGGTTTAAGCGATTCTCCTGCCTCAGCCTGCCGAGCAGCTGGGATTACAGGTGCGTGCCACCACACCCAGCAAATTTTTGTATTTTTAGTAGAGAAGGGGTTTCACCATGTTGGTCAGGCTGGTCTCAAACTCCTGATCTCAGGTGATCCACCGGCCCCGGCCTCCCAAAGTGCTGGGATTACAGGCACCAGCCATTGCACCTGGCTGAGTCCAAGGTTCTCACGAAGTCTCTTAGGTGGCTGCCCTTAGAGACAATAGATGGCAAATGTTTCCTATTCAGATCTTTAAAAGGTGCTAGATTTTCAGTCAATCTCTTCAGGATTGGGAGGGTATAGAAGGGGAAAGATCTAGTTATGTTAATAGAGATTCTTTACAGATGCAAATTTTCTCCCATAAAAGAAGGCTTTGTGGAGCCATTTCAAAATACGGCAAATAAACATATTTTCAGGTAAAATATTTTGATTTCCTTCATCTGCCATGTAATGTTATGCCAGAGCAGGTTGGAAAGTAAGCCACATTATATAAGGTTAAACAAAATCCATCTGATGAGATTTTACGATCCGTAGGATGGGCCTCCCCAGGTCCCTTAGATAGGAATTTGGGCAAGAGATAAAAAAAGGTCAGAGTTTAGTCTTCAATACCATCTTGAAGGTACAGAAAGAATGGGGGCTTGGATCCTGGTGAAACAGGTTACAGGAGGGGAAAGAACAGGAATTCTGTTGCGGGGATTACCAGAGAGAGTGAATGGATCTGGGAACAGGTATTACCTTGTACATAGTTCTCCCTGGAACTTAAATGATCCTTGGAGACAGTCATTATACCTGTAAAAGGGTATGTTCAGGTA